ACTGTAGGCATCGATCACGTTATTATTGCAGAGCGCATATTGAGTCCGTGAGTAGCCTAACCTCTCCGCTCAGATCGCAGGTGAATTTCCCTCACTATATGAGTGAGAGAGAGCGGCGCCGGCCCCTCTCTCTCAGATATTACAAGTGCGCGTTACGGCACCGACCGGCAGAAACATCTGCACCTACGGCATGGACGATGAAACAAAACCTCGTCAGAGCCGTAATGTGGCGCAGAAGTGTGCAGTGCTTGCTGCGCGTCTGCATTTGAAATAACGAACCTGAGCGCACAAAAGACGCGATGTGAATGGCTTTTTCCCCCCTGCATGTCATGTGCGCGGGGCTCCATTTTTATGATGAGAGGAGAGGAAAGGTTGAGAAAGCACTCCAGGGTAAATTTTGAAATGTACCAGGTTTATATATAGGCTATATATAAAGTTGATAAGCAGTTAAATGTGTTGGTTTACACACAAAGAAAAGTGTAAGCTTTTAGTAAGTCCAAGAATAAAATGATTAATTTCCTTAGCATGTTAAATTTGATTTACAGAACTTTTGTACTGCTTTCTAACAGTTTGGACTTGAATAAAGAGAGAAAATTTGCACTTAACCTTTTCACAGGCATTTTGTTTTCATAGTTAGACAGATATCGTGATGTATCATTATAGAATTGTCTAGCAATATATTGATTATCGCAGAATCGCGATATTATCGTACCGTGAGCCATGTATCGTGATTCATATCGTATCGTGAGGTACCCTGCGATTCCCACCCCTACCAGGTATGTTTGTATCTAGTGGTCGACTTGAAAATGCCAATACCTAGAGAGTAGGATGCATGATATATATGATTTAATGATAGCAAATAAGACTTGCTCCACACATTTCTTGTAATTTAAAGAACACATTCTCACAATATTTAGTAAATTCATTGAAGAGTACTTGAAATCAAAACATGCATCAATAAAGCATAATTCATTGACAGTGCTGCATTATTCACTGACAATGCTGTTGCACAAGCATTAAAATACTGGCTGATACTAATATTTTGATAAGTACTTTCATGTTATGACTAATAACAGAAACGATAGATAGTGAAATTCTATATTGCTTTATCCAAAACTCAAAACGCACTGGAAATTAATTCTGCAAATTAATTTAGGCATCACAATCACTAATATTAGCCATTAACAGACATACTGCATTTGCCTCTAAAATGGACAAATATCAAAAGATTAATTGGTCCATTACTAATTGTGCAATTTAAGTTTTACAGGTATTGGCAAGATATTGTGTATGAACAGGTATCTTCCAACATGATCAAACTGACTCTTTAGTACACATAATTCTGAAGAAAAGAAACGTTGGCTTTCACCAAAATATATGAACTTCTGTCTCTGAATTGACTTTTCTGCTCACATAACAATGGCTGCATGGGCAGTGAGAAAATAACACCACTGTCTATATTTCAAGATCTAATCAAATCACATGATATTTTAGATTTCTCTCTAAAACATACCACATTAGCAAAGTTAAATGTGTTGTAAAGACGTTTCATGTTGTCTTTAAAGACTGACCCATGTTTAGGGCTAAGGAAAGTGATGTAAGATGAGAGTCTGATATATGTTTTGAAAGCAGAGCGTTTCAAAGGGCTATTTCTCCAGTGATGATTCATATGTGGGGGGCCTTTTTTCAGGGTGATGATTTGAGGTGTGTTCCGGGTGTTTCAGAGTGAATATATCCCTACCTCCACCTCATCTCCCTCACAAATGTCCTTGTGGTAATCGGTTGGGGGTGGCAACCTCACGTCACTGAACGGCAGTTGTCTCTCTGGTTGCCAGCTAGTGGAAAGAAGCCACACACATAGACACAGTTGTCAGTAAGTTTTCTAACGACAGAACAGGTATAACGACACCCCACCTCCAAAAACCATGGGCTCACTGGCCTAACAAACCCAATGCCGAGATGATCAACACAGTTATTGTTGATTGTGATTATCATTGCTGCTTCTTGTTTTTTTTAATGTTCCTGTGCTCTTTTGTTTATTCTGTATTCCTGTCTTAATTTTATATGTATACTACTCTTACATTGTAAAGCGATTTGAGAAGCTCCTTTAAAGTCGCTACAGAAAAGAAAGTTATTATTAGTTTAATGGAATATATTTACAATTTAGTAAAGAGGAGAGGTGTCAACACTGAGATATGAGGGGTCACTGTGGATCTACTGAAATGAGCAAATCATATGCTCTCAGAAACACTTGTAAAAATCACAACTTTGAATAATTCACTCCAAATAGGTCCAAAAACACTAGCGGTTTACTCATTCAGCTATAAACCTCAGACTTTTCTTGAAATCTCTCACACACTGTCTCAATCTTCACTATTATACACAAATCGAACAAAATCGTAAGCAGATGGTGTCAGAGAGATGTTAGTGCTCCTGCTTGTCCATGGGTCAGCAGAACCATCCCAAGAATGGCAGGACCACTGTCCCGTGCTCCCCTGCCTGCATACCTCACCGGGCTATTTATGGATCTCACTCAGGCCGAAACAGGGAGTGAGAGAAGGAAAAAAAAGACTTGAGATAAAGATGAGAGGAGTAGGGAGACATGGGGGAAAAAAGTGGGAAGGAGCGGGACAGGAGAACTTAGAACGAGCGAGTTAGCACAGGTGCTGAGAGAGACAGGCTGGAGCACATGGATAAAGGAAAAGTGGAAATGATCTATCAGTTAAGCTCCAAAGAAAAGAAGCTGATTGGGAGATGAGCACAATCAGATCATATCAGCATAGACAAAACATTTTTTTAAAAAGTGCTGCATTTTAAGAGTGACCTATAATATCTGTATAGTAAAAATGTATTTAAATACACGTACAGATCGATCTACTTGTACATGTTCATATTATTATGTATTTAATAAAATAATGATGACATCCACATTTCTTTCTTTATTTATACAAAATATATACTGTTCAAAAGTTTTGGGTCAGTAAGATTTTTTTTTTATGTTTCTGAAAATACCTTTTATACTCACCAAGGCTGTATTTATTTGATCAAAATACAGTAAAAACAGTAATATTATGAAGTATTACTACAATAAAAAAAAATGCTTTCTATTAATGTATTTTAAAATGTCATTAATTCCTGAGATGGCAAAGCTGAATTCTCAGCAGTCATTACTCCAATCTATAGTGTACTATGACCCATCAGCATTTATTTGTTTTAGAGATCTTTGGTAACACAATAAATGTTTTACTGTGACTTTTGATCCATTTAAAACAACCTTGCTGAATAAAGGTGTTTTAAAATCTTACTGAACCCAAACTATTGAATGTAGTGTGTGTGCTTTATATGTAAAATAATTAAATATATTTCTTAATATTATATGAGAGCTGACTGGAAAGTATCCGGACCCGCCATGTAATATGAAAAATACGAGATGAGAGATGCAATACAACGAAAACACAGCTATGGGCAACTGACGTTTGGCAGCTTCATCACAACAATGTGCCCGCCCATGCATCACGTCTTGTGCAGAGTTTTTTGCCGAAACATCAAATCACCCAGGTGACTCGGCCCCCCTACAGCCCAGATTTGGCACCCAAAACTAAAATCACCTTTGAAGGGCACTGAGGCGTCATTGTCCTATGTACAATGTTTCTTGTATCATCTTCAAAAAATGTCTCTAGTTTTCATATTACATGGCTGGATACTTTCCGGACAGCCCTCGTATATATAAACATACATACATACACAGTGTGTGTGTGTGTGTGTGTATATACATACATACATACATACATATATATATGTATTATTTGATTTTATTCTTATTTAAATTATGAATTTATATAACATCAACATAACTGATGGACCGACTGCAGTACCATTGGTAAAACACCCTGTTAAAGACCCTAGAGATTAGGCTTGCCGCGATAGACGGTGTTGACGGTGATACCGGTGGATACATATACTGCATTTTAACAGGGTAAAACTCTTCTCTTCTTGGCTAACCTTATATTTTTGTTGTTTGTGTAGGTGGCAAAGTGTGAACACTCATCACAAGAAAAACCTTGTGAAACAGGCAGAGGCTTTGGGAAAGAGTCTGTACAGGAAACGTTCGGCCAACTTACTTGTTTTCAAAGACTATAGTGAGGGAGTCTTCGTGTACATCCTTGATGAAACCCTAAAAAAATGAAGAGAAAATATGTTCAGCATAAGTGTTTTATATGGAACCAAGTTAGCATCTGTTGATGAGGGAGCTACATTGCTAACAAAATCTTTGTGAAATGCAAAGGTGATACAAAAGCATGTACTTTTATTCATTAAATTTATTAAACAGACAAAGCAACGTGTATATATGTGCCACAAACGTGGAAACAAGCACGTCACAGGTGTAGCATTTGCTAGCTTGTGAATGTGAGATGTAATTGGGCAGTCGGGGGGAGGCACCCAAAGTCCCCTCCTCAAAATCTGTTCCTCATCCATCACTCCTCCTTCCTCCACAAATCTATCAGAGCTGCCATAAAACGATTACTCCAGTCGCCACCCCAATCATAGCTCAGCTACATACAGACAATGCCTAATATGGGACGGAGAAACTGAGACGAGAGGGAAAGAGAGAAAATTAGACAGAATGAGTGCCAGTATGTAACCTGCCTGAAAGAGACAGGCTGGTCTCAGGAAAACTAGCACAAGTGCATATGCAGACCTGTTTATAGAGTCACAAGACACATGGATTCACATACAACCATCTAATGCATGAATCTGAATCATGGTTGCCAAATCCACATTATCCAGATGAGAGAGGTTTCTACAGTATTTCTTTCTGAATGTCTATAGGGCAATGTACTGAACCAGTGTTAAAAAAAAAAAAAGTAAATGTAAATGTGCAACAACAAAAAAAACTATCAACTATTAAAAATATATATATTATTTAAAATGCCCGCTCATTAACAAGTCAGCAAAAGAGCCTGAAAGCAACTGGGCAGTCTTTTAATATAGACTGTCCTGTATTGAATCCATTCCAACATACTAGACTGAAGTCACATATTCCTATGTCTGCTGACGGTTATGCCTAGGAGAGGCACAGAGTCTTACGTTAGGGTGGCAATTTTGGGAATGTGACACTACAGACGTGCAGGACCTAACTGGATGAGTGGCAAATAACTAATCTATGATGGAGACTTTTGGCCATGTGCGTCCTCCATTCATTGCCCCGCATGTGGTGAACCTTACAGAAACCTTGAAGTTAATTAACAAATAAAACTAAAAAATATTTTCAGATTTCAGAATTATGAATAGGTTTTGTAAAACGTCCATTTATTCATTTGGAAAAAACACTTGACAACAAGACTGAAAATACATATTTAAGATGGGACTGAAAATATTACCTTAGGAATTGGCACATATCGGTTGCTCTGATTTCTAATCTAAATACTGAGGCACACTTTGCCCTATGATACTACTTGATGTCCAAAGTATTGGAAACATTATAAAGATTTCATCCACTCATAACCTGGTTACAAAACCAAGACTTTGGAAACTTCTCAAGGGCACCTCAAATCCCAGACCAGGTTTTCATGAAGAGGAAAGTGCTGACACTTCTGGTTGGGATTATGCATTAATAGAGATTTGGAAGAACACATGTGATAATGTTAACAGCAAAAAATGCAGAAGGCATATATAAACAGAACAGAAGAGAGACTAAACCGGCAAGAATTCATCTTTTACATAACATTACAGTGAGGGGTCATGGAAAGGAAAAGTAAAGAGAGTAAAGGATAAAACCAGAGAGGAGTGGTAGTAATAGTATTGGTGGGGGTTGTAGAGTGTTGGGTGTCAGCAACGAGATCACCTGTTCCTCTCCCACCTGCTTTGGTCCCTCAGAGTTTTACAGCTCGAAACAGCCGTCACTGTAACCTTAGTGCAAAATAGTACATCCCTAAATAAAAAAAACCTGAACTTATAACATAATATGCCCATCAGTACATAAGATTGTTTCATACGGTTTGTTCTTAAAAAAAAAAAAAAACCCAGCAGAGTTGGATGAAACATGTGAAACGTATTTGTTGCTCTTTATGACACACATTTGTGTGACTTTGCAGCTGGAGCTGGATAATGCTGGAGGTAGTGCTGAGCGGTATGACCAAAAATTTCTATCACGGTATTTTTCAAAATTATACCGGTTTCACGGTACATGACGGTATTTTTTTTTTCATGCATGACCGGGTGTTAACCATATCCACTGCGAGTTCAGCGGCTCAGATGTGGGGAGTAAATGACGACTGCTATGCTCATTATTACATCCAACAACAGAACACCTCAATCGCTTAGGAAGGAGTCATTCTTGTCTACATCTGCTTCAGTGGTGAAACAATGGCGGACTGATGCCAGCTCACTCAGGGTGCGTCTAGATGACAGCTCACTCAGGGCGGGTCTAAGGTAAGACGCCAGTCCAGTCTGTGCTGAAACGCTACTGTCAATCAAACTATCGTGGGAGGGGCCTGTCTGTGTGAGGTCACACAGGCATCTGAGATCGGCTCGATTTGAGAAAGGGGAAAACATTTAACCAGATTTAAAAAAAAACACTGGGTGGATTTTTATCATTATAGGGTGGTTGTGTACACACTGCCAACACACATTTCAGTTCAAAAAATTTTAAAAGTGCATGTAGCATCCTATAACCCCTTTAAAGTGACAGCGGGCTATATTCCTGCTGCCGACTGTGTGCTTAATATTAATCAAACAACAAAAGACACATTCAAAATCACTCACTGCTCTTGACTGAAGGACTTTTTTCCTGAAGTTTAATTCTTACAGTGAAGACTATGCTGTTTTATTTTGCATTAGGTTATTTCTCTAGTAGGCCGTTAACTGAATACTTTAGACTTGCATTAAAAAAAACTTAAAGCACAGTTTGTTTCATTTGTAAATTTTTTATTCTATTGTATTCTTTTGCTTTTTTATTACTGGCATTGTTTTCCTTTGCTTTTTTATTACAGTTTAATTTATTTTCAATAATCTTGAGGACCTTTTTTATTTTATTTTTTAACTAATATTAGTTACTCTGGTATTCTGCTGTGGTATTGAGAATT